TTTATTATGGAGTGTCCATAATACTATAATAATACATAATCGAATTCCCCCATACATACAGATTTCACCTTATACCATTGAAATGCCAAATAAACCATAATAGTTCAATGGAGCCCCAATTGGCTCTCCAATATATTATACATTACTTCCATAACCACACCAGTCATGGTCCGATCACCCATCAAACCCCATCACATGATCAAACAACGGCACAACCTTAAACTCATATGGGGCGGCAGGTAGCCCAGTAACCAAGAGCACCGTGCCAGCAACTGAGAGGTTGCCGGTTCTTATCCCCGAGCCGACCAGGCGAAAAATCTGCCGATGTTCCCTCGAGCAAGGCACCCAACCCCAATTGCTCCTTCAAGTCGCTCTGGACAAGAGCGTCTGCTAAATGACCAAAAATGCAAATGTAAATATTCTCTACTTTATATTTCAACGATAAACCAAATTATTTCAGTCTAATTATTTAACCAGTATTTTGCAGGGTCAAACATCAACCGTTAAATTAAATAATAAACCAAATAGCGTCAACTTAATTATTTAAAATCAGTATTATGCTATGTCAAACATCAAACGTTACAGTTCAATTATATCCGTTCAAACGTTTCAGTTTAGTCATACTAGTTATTCATTATTTTACCTTTATGTTCCCAATTGTTATTAACCGGTTATACGGTTCAAGCAACCACAAACCCAACAGTTGTTCACAAATTATACAGTTTGGACAGCCACAGACGTCTTTAATTCCTAATTAGTTTTCTATCAAGGTATACAGGTTTGTTAACTTTAGTAACCCGCATTCACTCTTTTATTTTGTCTGCAAACACTCTTTTATTACACTGGGATCATTCGCACTCTCATGCATACGACAACACTCTAAACTCTAAAGTGTCCCTCTGATCCTAGCCGTACCTAGCCTTTGCTGATACGTGTCAATAGCGTCACCCCTTTCTTAAAGAATTTTAAGTGCCTCCTATGAACCTAGTCATATCTAGTCTGAACTGATATGTGCCATAGCGTCGCACCGCCTATCTATTTAAAGTACCTCCTATGAGCTTCAGTCATAGCGTCGCACTGTCTAACTATTTAAAGTACCTCCTATGAGCCTCAGTCATAGCGTCGCACTTATGATCATTCAATTCCCATGGGTTTAACCATCACAATTATCAAACATTTGCATAGTATATTATGAAATCGAAGTAGTATACTGTAATCGTTATTTATAGTACAATAGGGTTCACTTACATCAAACAGGTGCTTCACCAAATTAATTTGGATAAAGCCAATGTGCAGAACTTTAGTTACATAACAATAGGTGTCTGCTTACCTGTTTTTAGAAGCCTGGGCACTTTGTGAAACACACCGTCCGACGACAGCGATGTCCAATGGGCTGGATGAATTCCAGCGAAGTTCCGCTATCAGATCACGTTGGGGTCACCAATTGTTAGAAATAGCGTTAGTTCAAATCTGGTATTGGAATAAGAGAAAACATGATCAAGAGGTATTCAATTCAAGCTAAATGTATTATATGCAAATGTATATATGATAAGAATGAAGGTTCGTATACGGGCTCACTGAAATACCACGCAGGGCAGACAGAGAACTAACTTCCTTAATACAAGCTCTTCTTTAAATACCCTGACAGTGATAGTTCCCGTTCCTTGCTGGGCCTATCAGGGTAGAGGCTGAGTGTGGTTTAGACTTACTCAGCCTATCGTTGGCGCACAGGCTGGTCCCAGCCCCTTGGCGCTTCACTGTTGCCAGGCATAAGTTGTTATCATCACAACTTGTCCAGAGAGTCGGCACTTTTTGCAGTACACGTTCTTGAGCGCAGTTTAACAAAGAGGCAGTGTTCGTGTATGTGAGACACAAGTTCTTATCTCCCCCTACTCCCTAACAGCTCCTCACATGAATCACAGCTTGTTATGTTAAACAGTCTATATCAGTACAGCACAAACCTATTATGTTTAATCATTAATGTATTCTTTCTAAGCTAGGCATCACATCTAGTTATAAGAAAATAGAGCCCCACACACCATAGGTTCAAAAATGTAGTCACAAATGTGTACATGTGTACATCTTTTCTGGGGCCTGGGATTTTTCCTGACCTCATGACCTGGTCAGCTAAAACCATGGGTCCCATTCATGTACTGTTCTGAACCAAATTTCTACTGGCCCAGACATGGTGTAGTTTCTAAATGCATTAGGGTCATACAGGGTCATAGGTTGGCATGCTTTCTCTATATATTTAGCTATTAATAGGCTTTATTTGGTTATTGTGATATGTATTAAAAAGCTGTTTAATATAATTTAGCAACGTAAGTCGTCTATTCTTTAGAATTGCATCGCATTTATTTTTGTAATTTAGAGATTTCTTTATACATCTCAAAATAGGACGCTGCCCCTTTAAGCGAACTGCTTTCCATAAAAGTATTCCAGAAGGCTAGGCAAGATGAAAACTGGATTTTTTTTTGTAGATTTCTTTTAGCAGACTATCAACAGTAGCCAGCATATTGGTAGTATGTTCAATATTGAAGATCACTAAACCTCAAATAAATAAACGAGTAGATTTATTATTTTTGCTCAGGACAGCTTGCGTGTGCTGTGTGAATGTATCAACTGCTGTACTGCTCGATAAGTTGTGGCTTGCGGGAGCATAGTGGTGTTTGAATGAATGGCCAATCATATACACGGGTTGGTTGTTTAGCAACAAAACCGACTCGTGCACAACCATGGGGCAAAACAGACGGGGTTGGTTTAGATTGTTGACAACAAGTAAGCTATATTTTGTCTCCAATGTCTTTTGACAACATATATAAATTTGCATAATAAGCACCTGTTGTCTCTCAAATACATAATTACAGTAGTTGGTTAGCTAGCTAGCGAATCTTTGCCAAATTAGCATTGACATGAAATCAGTCAAAACACCTCAAAACAAGACATGGTATCAAGAACAAGATGAAACAAGCTGTAAGGAGTCACGTACGATTCCCCACATGGCAGTTTATTGTCATTGTTACTAGCCATCTGGCCATCCAGAATCACAACAACAAACTGACTTCTGCCCCATGGAAGTGCACACCTCATTTTCCTGACTGTCAACGAACCCATCTATAATCAAATACAAATAGCACGACTTTTCTGCGTGTAGTCTTCAATGGTTTTCAATGGTTGACTGCGGAACTGAGGCTTCGCAAAGGTCAATGTGGATCTTGAATCTAATGGCGGTGGAATCAAGGAGAATTGGACTATTGTCCAAAAGAATGGACAACGGAGCAAAGTAGCGTACAGTGCTGAGAATGTCCCTTCGTGTCTTGTAGGAGTACAGTTTGTTAATGAGGAGCAGCTGATCGGATTACCAATCTTGGAGAATCCATTTGAGATATCCAAACTGGTGGAGAGAGTACTGGGTAAAGTGAAGGCTGTGAGGATCACTAGAGGCGGGCTTGTTTCGACTTTTTTGTACTTCTGAGGATCAGAAGGAATGTGTGTTGCGTCTCACCCGATTTGAGAAGTTTGACTTGTCGTGTGTCTCTTCGGAACAGGGCACCCCTCAAGGGGGTAACATCTGACATCTCGTGGGAAGTCGATGTTGTAGAGATTAAAAATATTCCTGTAGTGATTGATGTACGTCGGATGAATCATGTGGTGAATGAAGAAAAAGTGTATCTGTTCTTTTGTTTTTTGATATGGAGTCTCTCCCTACTCAAGTGCAGTTGGGGTATATAAACTACAGAGTCAGAGCATTTATCCCAAGACCAATGTGATCACTGTAAAGCTTTTGGACATGTTTCAAGTGTTTGCAGAAGAGAGAAGCCGAGATGTCCAAGTTGTGGAAAAGATCATATCATGTGTTTTAAAAGTGATGAAAATGTGACATGTTGCAATTGTGGTGGGAACCATGAAGCCACGTCTTTTGAATGCCCGACAAGGGTGAAAGAGAATGAGGTGTCCAAAGTCAGGGCTGTCCAGAGCATTTCATATGCAGCGGCTGTTAAAAGGGTTCAGGGTTGAATGGTGCTCCTAAAGAGTCCATGATGGTGGATAGGCCTTCACTGAAAGCTGCAGGGGTTGCCTTACACAAGCAGGACCCAGATATTTTAAAGGTTAAGAAGGTGGACTTTGTGGCCTTTATAGCTATGGTGATTAATGGTACTGCCAAGGTGGAGAGGAAGTCCAGGAAAATAGATATAATTGTGGATGCGGCGGAGCGGTTCATGGGACTGAAAGGCTTCTCAGCGGAGGAGTTGCATGGAGTATTGTCACAATCCGTACCAGCCTCTCAGGCCCCAGAGCCTGAGAAGGGAAATGTGAAGGAAGGAAGAAGTGGGAGTTTTGTGTTTGATTTTTGTTTTGTCAATGTACTGTTTTTATTTGGGTGGATTAAGTTAGTTTTCCCTATCAAGTATGGATGTTTTTTCAATCCTGTCCAGTTGGTGGCGGCAATACACCTTTTGGGGTTGTAGTCCGCCATAAAACCCACAGAAGAAGAATGGTAGACTGCGACAGAGCAGGTAAACGTTGAACTGTCTCGGTTGGTGCTGCTGCTCTGAAAGTGGTGTAGCAGGACCACACCAGATTGAAAAGTACTGGAGCAAATGTGGTCTCGCCACACGCTTTCCGGCAGCTCTGGTGTTTAGTATTTAGTATTTTATTAGGATCCCCAATTAGCTGCTGCCAAGGCAGCGGTTACTCTTCCTGAGGTCCAAACAGGAAACAGCACAACAAATAAAATACATAACATGCATAACACTACATGTACATTTCTACTGGCAGAGGGGTCACGACCTGGCTATCATAAGGTTGTCTCGCCTGGCTATCGTAAGATGAATGCATTAGCTGTGGGACGCTCTGGATGGGAGCGTCTGCTAAATGACTCAATTGTAAGCTTCAGTCACCAGATGAGTTGTTCAACATGCAGATCTTTAAGGATAAAGACACAATACACAACAATGAAACTCTGCATATGTTCATTCTGCATAAGAACCACTTTCTGCATGTATGCTGATGTACAATACTATATCTCACCCTCCATTCTAGGCCCAGCAGAGGAGGAATTAGGTGAACACCTTGACAAGAAAGGCCCAGCAGAGGAGGCATTAGGTGAACACCTTGACAAGAAAGGCCCAGCAGAGGAGGTATTAGGTGAACACCTTGACAAGAAAGGCCCAGCAGAGGAGGTATTAGGTGAACACCTTGACAAGAAAGGCCCAGCTGAGGAGGAATTAGGTGAACACCTTGACAAGAAAGGCCCAGCAGAGGAGGAATTAGGTGAACACCTTGACAAGAAAGGCCGAGCTGAGGAGGAATTAGGTGAACACCTTGACAAGAAAGGCCCAGCAGAGGAGGAATTAGGTGAACACCTTGACAAGAAAGGCCCAGCAGAGGAGGTATTAGGTGAACACCTTGACAAGAAAGGCCCAGCAGAGGAGGAATTAGGTGAACACCTTGACAAGAAAGGCCCAGCAGAGGAGGAATTAGGTGAACACCTTGACAAGAAAGGCCCAGCAGAGGAGGTATTAGGTGAACACCTTGACAAGAAAGGCCCATCAGAGGAGGCATTAGGTGAACTCCTTGACAAGAAAGTCCCAGCAGAGGAGGTATTAGGTGAACACCTTGATAAGAAAGGCCCAGCAGAGGAGGTATTAGGTGAACACCTTGATAAGAAAGGCCCAGCAGAGGAGGTATTAGGTGAACACCTTGACAAGAAAGGCCCAGCAGAGGAGGTATTAGGGGAACACCTTGACAAGAAAGGCCCAGCAGAGGAGGTATTAGGTGAACACCTTGACAAGGAGGAGGAAGCAGAGATGGTAAGACACACTTCCATCGTTTACATCCTCAGTGGTCATGCTGATCATGTTCCTGTAATGTGTTATGTTTTTTCAGTTTTCTTTACATCACTCCGGCTTTAGAAATCACTCCTCCATTAACTGGTTGCTAAAATTCTAAACTGGCTCATTTCAATTTATGTGACAAAGCAAGCAATATATAGTGTAGAGAATCATTGTAACGTCTAAACTGCAGTGAAATATCTTTGGAATAACCAAAAATATTGTATTTTCAACTGTTTGAAGCTGGTGTACAAAACAAAAGGAAAATTATGCAAAAAAGGAAACTTAAGGATGGGAAGCATAGACATGGGCAGAGACTTGAGTCTTGAGTCACGTGACTTGGACTTGAGTACTACTCGAGTTGCACATTTTGTGACATGCCATTTGACTTCGACTTGAGCATCTATGACTCGTGATTTAACATGGACTTGAGCTGTATGACTCGAGATTCGATTTGTCATCTCGCTCACAATATTGGAGTGCTGCAGATTCTGTGCGTTGTGATGATGTCCTGATGCAGAGGTGGCACCACAGGTCCCGGAGTGCTGGGGCAAATTGTTTTCCCTGGGACCCAGATCTTTTCCTAATCTGGTAACCTAACCAGGTATAAATCCGGACCCTATAGGGTCTGACAGTGATTCATTAGTTTTAAAAAATATATATATATGGGCAATGATGGGAGTAGGACCCGATTTACATTTTAGTCATTTAGCAGACGCTCTTATCCAGAGCGACCGACAGGAGCAAACAGGGTTAAGTGCCTTGCTTAAGGGCACATCGGCAGATCTTTCACCTAGTTCGAACCAGTGGCCTTGAGCACTCGAAACCCAAAATTAGGAACTTGTGACTTGACTCGACCTGAGCTTAAACACTTTGAAGTTTGACGTTTGGAATTTTTTTTACATTTGTTGTTCGAGAAACATGGATGAACGTCTAATTCTGAGGTGAGACTGTGAGAACTTGTTGATCTTTCCACCTGTTAAGAAGGTGAAATCTTCGATGTCACTTTCAGCCCTCTGCCGTACATCTACAAATTGTGCGTGCTTGATCAGTGGCTCTTCCAGTGGCAGCTTCTAATCCAATCCCACCTCATCATGTAACAAAAATATTGATGACTGCTCTCTCTGAAGCAGCAAGTTGAAAGAAGTGAAAGTTGGTACGGTGGCTTAGAAGAACAGCAGGTATACTTCTATTGCACACATTTCCTGTATTTATGTTAAATTCTTTGGAATACATCTTACCTGTTCGAAATCAGCTGAGTTTACATTCACCACACTAAATCATGTTCACAAGCACAAACAAATAATTTCTTTCAAGATTTAAAGTTTAAGAGAGTGAGTACTCAATTGGACGACATTTCATTGTTACATACCTAGTCTCAGCTCAGCTTCTTATCAGACTTCTTGAGGTAGTGACCGATAGCACGACTTTTCTGCGTGTAGTCTTCAATGGTTTTCAATGGTAGACTGCGGAACTGAGGCTTCGCAAAGGTCAATGTGGATCTTGAATCTAATGGCGGTGGAATCAAGGAGAATTGGACTATTGTCCAAAAGAATGGACAACGGAGCAAAGTAGCGTACAGTGCTGAGAATGTCCCTTCGTGTCTTGTAGGAGTACAGTTTGTTAATGAGGAGCAGCTGATTGGATTACCAATCTTGGAGAAACCATTTGAGATATCCAAACTGGTGGAGAGAGTACTGGGTACAGTGAAGGCTGTGAGGATCACTAGAGGCGGGCTTGTTTCGACTTTTTTGTACTTCTGAGGATCAGAAGGAATGTGTGTTGCGTCTCACCCGATTTGAGAAGTTTGACTTGTCGTGTGTCTCTTCGGAACAGGGCACCCCTCAAGGGGGTAACATCTGACATCTCGTGGGAAGTCGATGTTGCAGAGATTAAAAATATTCCTGTAGTGATTGATGTACGTCGGATGAATCATGTGGTGAATGAAGAAAAAGTGTATCTGTTCTTTTGTTTTTTGATATGGAGTCTCTCCCTACTCAAGTGCAGTTGGGGTATATAAACTACAGAGTCAGAGCATTTATCCCAAGACCAATGCAGTGTGATCACTGTAAATCTTTTGGACATGTTTCAAGTGTTTGCAGAAGGGAGAAGCCGAGATGTCCAAGTTGTGGAAAAGATCATATCATGTGTTTTAAAAGTGATGAAAATGTGACATGTTGCAATTGTGGTGGGAACCATGAAGCCACGTCTTTTGAATGCTGATGTACAATACTATATCTCACCCTTCATTCTAGGCCCAGCAGATGATGTATTAGGTGAACACCTTGACAAGAAAGGCCCAGCAGAGGAGGAATTAGGTGAACACCTTGACAAGAAAGGCCCAGCAGAGGAGGTATTAGGTGAACACCTTGACAAGAAAGGCCCAGCAGAGGAGGTATTAGGTGAACACCTTGACAAGAAAGGCCCAGCAGAGGAGGTATTAGGTGAACACCTTGACAAGGAGGAGGAAGCAGAGATGGTAAGACACACTTCCATCATTTACATCCTCAGTGGTCATGCTGATCATGTTCCTGTAATGTGTTATGTTTTTTCAGTTTTCTTTACATCACTCCAGCTTTAGAAATCACTCCTCCATTAACTGGTTGCTAAAATTCTAAACTGGCTCATTTCAATTTATGTGACAAAGCAAGCAATATATAGTGTAGAGAATCATTGTAACGTCTAAACTGCAGTGAAATATCTTTGGAATAACCAAAAATATTGTATTTTCAACTGTTTGAAGCTGGTGTACAAAACAAAAGTAAAATTATGCAAAAAAGGAAACTTAAGGATGGGAAGCATAGACATGGGCAGAGACATGAGTCTTGAGTCACGTGACTTGGACTTGAGTACTACTCGAGTTGCACATTTTGTGACTTGCCATTCGACTTCAACTTGAGCATCTATGACTCGTGACTTAACATGGACTTGAGCTGTATGACTCGAGATTCGATTTGTCATCTCGCTCACAATATTGGAGTGCTGCAGATTCTGTGCGTTGTGATGATGCCCTGATGCAGAGGTGGCACCACAGGTCCCGGAGTGGTGGGGCAAATTGTTTTCCCTGGGACCCAGAGCTTTTCCTAATCTGGTAACCTAACCAGGTATAAATCCGGACCCTATAGGATCTGACAGTGATTCATTAGTTGTAAAAAATATATATATATGGGCAATGATGGGAGTGGGACCCGATTTTACATTTTAGTCATTTAGCAGACGCTCTTATCCATAGCGACCGACAGGAGCAAACAGGGTTAAGTGCCTTGCTTAAGGGCACATCGGCAGATCTTTCACCTAGTTCGAACCAGTGGCCTTGAGTACTCGAAACCCAAAATGAGGGGCTTGTGACTTGACACGACCTGAGCTTAAACACTTCGAAGTTTGACGTTTGGATTTTTTTTTTAATGTGTTGTTTGAGAAACATGGATGAACGTCTAATTCTGAGGTGAGACTGTGAGAACTTGTTGATCTTTCCACCTGCTAAGAAGGTGAAATATCTAGATAAAAACAAAAAGCTTCCAGCAGATTATAAATTCTGAGTTCCGACACCTGTCAGATTGTAGTGTGATGTCTGAAGCTTCGAACGTCATCATCAGCATCAGTACATTATATAAAATCAGTAGTGCTTTGAAATCTGCATCAGAGTGTCGGAGCTCCGGTATCAATCATCCCATCACTGAAAATAAGTAAAGAAGTAATTTTGTGTGGGAGATAAAAACGTTTTTTACGTCAGAGGCAGAGATGGCTCAGAACGACAAAATCCAGGCTTTAACACAGCCCGTCTATAGGACGCACACTGTTTAAAGGCCCCCTCCAGAGGACGTTACCGCCACTATAGAGCCCCACAGTGGACGCGTCATAATACCCATAAAACCTAGCGGTTTAACACGGAAATGGTTCCAATCATTTTTTCACCATACATTTTTCCTATAGGGGATTTTAAGAACCACTTCAAACGAGGTTTGTGTTTCATGTAGGCTTTCCCTGGCATGACGTTTTGATAACCATGTAAATCTCTCTCGGACAAGGTGACTTTTATCAACATATCCGTCTCTATTTAATCTCAGATTTGAAAATGCTAATTAGCATCAAAGTAGGCATCATGCAAGACAACAAATCCCTGCATGCTCCATCACGTCATCTCTAGCTGTCAGCTAGCTAGATGGCTACAAGCTACAAAAGCAAAAATGTGTTTACATCCCTGTTAGTGAGATTTCTCCTTTGCCAAGATAATCCATCCACCTGACAGGTGTGGCATGTCAAGAAGCTGATTAAACAGCATGATCATTACACAGGTGCACCTTGTGCTGGGGACAATAAAAGGCTGCTCTAAATTGTGCAGTTTTGTCACACAACCCAATGCCACCTAGAGGGATGGTTGGCCATGGAATAAACAAAATGAGGTGCTGGTGTGTTTCCCCTTTTAGGACTTTGTCACAAATATCTGGCCCTTGTCCAGTCATACTCAGGCTCTCATCGTGTGTCCCTCGAAGGCATTCTGTCTTAGTTGCAGCAGTCAAATCGTGCTCATCGTGTGTCTGTGAATCACAACATTAAAGACGATGAGTGATCACAGCATTTCCACAAATTGAGCCATACACAATACAACTTAAGCATTGGGGACAGAATTTTGTTGACAACATGATGGTTTACACTATGCCTAGTGTGTGTGAATGATGGAAGAATCTTACCCCAGCTGTAGGTCCATTTGAGTGTGTGGTCACTTAGGCCTGAACATCACCCAGTACTGGGACCATTGGAGACATGGGATGCTTGCTCTCAAAATGCTGCTTGAATGTCTTCGGGTCTGCGTCTATAAAGGTCAAGTATAAAATGGAGGAAGTTAAGAATCTGTGGCAGAGATTGAATTCAAAGTTGACACAAATTATAAACTAAGCAATAACTGATAGACACACACACACTACATGTTAATGTTTTTAAATGTATGTGAATTGTAAAGTATTTTGTCTGTAATGTCATGTTCGTTATGTGTTGTACCCCAGTAAGACTAGCTGTTGCCATTGGCGTCTGCTAATGTGGATCCTAATAAATCAAATCAAAAGGCCAGTACACATGGAGAGGAACCTAAAGGTCCATACAGTACCAACCAATACTACTCAACCCACAGACAGAGCAGGTGTGGACCAGTGCTGCCTTGGCTGCAGTCTTCTGGTCCTCAGCTGCTCCCTTCATCTTGGCAGCTGCCGCCTTGGCATCAGTCAACAAGTTCAACTTCAACTTGAGTTGAATGAGGGAGAGGAGAGGAGAGGAGAGGAGAGGAGAGGAGAGGAGAGGAGAGGAGAGGAGAGGAGAGGAGAGGAGAGGAGAGGAGAGGAGAGGAGAGGAGAGGAGAGGAGAGGAGAGGAGAGGAGAGGAGAGGAGAGGAGAGGAGAGCCCATAGTACAGAATAATGACTTTAACGGGTGGACAGCTCCAGATCTGAATGGCAGGAGTGTGTATAAGCTTTTGTTCCAGCCCAGCTCATACCTGATTACAAATCATAACTGTGATTTGTTATGTTCATTATTTAAATCAGGTGTTAGAGCTGAGCTGGGAAGATGAAAACAACTTGACATACTGGTAGCTTAGTGGTTAAGAGCATTGTGCCAGTAACCGAAAGGTTGCTGGTTCTAATTCCTGAGCCGACTAGGTTAAAAATCTGTCGATGTGCCTGTGAGCAAGGCACTTAACCCTAATTGCTCCTGTTAGTCGCTCTGGATAAGAGCGTCTGCTAAATGACTAAAAATGATTAATCGGGCGTGCACATCTCCACCTTCCTCCTTGTGCTAATTGCTACAGAGCACAGCACAGTTAATGGTAGCTACGATAAGGCGAAGACTATCCACTCTCCTCCTCCCTCTTCTGCAATGGAATTGAAGAATAATGGATGAATACAGAGTTTAGCGGTAATACTGGAGTTTTATCGGTGAAGCTAGGGGCTAGCTAACCTACTCCCTGGACCAATAAAGCTAGCTAGCTACCAGTAACTATTAGCAACTGTGGATAATTGGTTCTAAAGTTGTTTCAAGCATGGGTGTCTCATGGTGGGGGTCTTTTAGGTCCCAGATTCTTGTTGCTAGTCAACTTTCAGTGGACACCCCCATGACCGTAACAAAATGGGGGCTCGTCCGGAATTTTATTTCCAATGAGCTCTAATCACCTACTCTGAATCTCTACTATGCCCAGATATTTGAGTGTTTAAAATACACTTTTGTGGTAGAGTTTCTGTCACTGACAATCACTCAGAGGGGCTATAAGATTGGTCAAATCTTTTTGAAAGTTGCATAAGCACACAGGATAAAAAATAAAAAATATAATAATAATAATAATAATAATAAATAATAATAATAATAATAATATGCCATTTAGCAGACGCTTTTATCCAAAGCGACTTACAGTCATGCGTGCATACATTTTTTTTTGTGTATGGGTGGTCCCGGGGATCGAACCCACTACCTTAGCATTACAAGCGCCGTGCTCTACCAGCTGAGCTACAGAGGACCACATTGACATTAAGTTGGAAGCATTTGTGGAAAATCCTACTTGGGAGATGCTTGATAAATATACGAAGGTGAAACTGCTCATCACTGTAAGGCATTATGTCATCAAAGTGGCACATACCGATCCAAAAGCATTAGTCAGAGTTAATTGGTACTGCTTTGGTGGAGGAGGAAATCCTCCCAGAGAGGGAGGATAATGGAAAGGGTTCTACATGTGGTAGAGTACCCTGTAGACTTGCAACTGAGGGAGATAGAACTAAAGGCAAAGTTGGAGCAACAGAAATAAGAGTTTGAGCACAATGAAAAACAAGAAGAACGTGAGCAGCCATTCGATGAAGAGAATTGAATCTGGAAGCACTCTGAATTCAGTCAGGCTGTCATGCACCCTCAACAGAGTTTGATCTTGGTCAGAACAGCTGACTTGTACCACCTTTAAATGAAAAGGAGATGGACGTATATTTATATATTATTCTGTTTGAGCGGATTGCCACATCCCTAAAATGGCCGCATGATTTCTGGTCACTGCTCCTATAATGTGTTCTTGTGGGAAATCTCATAAACTGTATGCCGCTTCATCTCTTGATCAGAGTAGTTCAGATTATGATATAAATTAAGCTGCTATCCTTTGGGTCTATGAGTTGCTCCCAGAGGCATACAGACAGCAGGAACTCGGTAGTTAGTGTTGCAACCAAGGACAGACGATTCTTACGTGCTACACGCTTCAGCACTCAGTGGTCCCGTTCTGTGAGCTTGTGTGGCCTACCACTTCGCAGCTGAGCAATAGTTGCTCCGAATGAGCTCATATTTGGACATCATATCAGAGGTCCTTTGAGCTTGCTAAAAGAGAAGTTGTTGCAGGAAAACACCTAAAAAAATTAAACTAATTTGTTGGAGCACGTTAACACTTTTCGATACAGATTGCACCGTGCCTGTGAGTTTGCCAGTAAGAATCTGGAGAAGGCGCAAACAGAAATGAAAGTTTGGTATGATCGAAAGCCCTGAAGCCATACTTTCGATGTGGGTTACCATGTCCTGGTGTTGTTGCTAGCACAACTGATTCAACTTGTCAACTAATCATCAAGCCCTTGGTTAGGTGAACCAGTGAGCTAGTTCAGGTCTCCAACAAAATTGTGAAACGTCTGGGGGTCCCCGAGGAAAGGTTTGAATACCCCTGTACTATATGGTAACAGGCACGTTGCCCCCAATGGACGTTTGGAAATTGCCATGGAAATAAAACGGCTTGCCATAACGTTACTTTACTTTTCCAATAACGGGTTGGCAGCAAGGAATAGAGTTTGGGCTCATGTTAAAAATGTAAAGTAACTTTTTCCAAATGGATTTTGTGTGGAACTACTGCTTTTTTAATGGGAGTCATCTGTTGCTGGATGAATGACAATGGAGATGTAAGAAAAAAAAAATAATCACAAACGCTCCGTCTTTTAAGGTATGCAACTCGTCAGGCATCAGAAAATATTTGACTTGACTGATACTTTTGATACACAAAAACTGACAATGATGTATGTTATATACGATGACTGTAAGTCGCTTTGGATAAAAGCGTCTGCTAAATGGCATATTATGTTATATTATATTATTATTATATATTTCAGCCATGTTCATGTGACTCAGTCTGGCTGTACCCTTAGTGTAAATTAAACCGAAACTAGACATGCCAAACACGGCATTAACTATCCCTAATTCTGAACCTGTTGTGCTTTATTTTCAACAGACCCAGAGTTGTAGATTCAATGTCATAATGTATTAAACATGTTAATCTGTGAATTCAACTTTTTATAGAACATTGAAGAGGAAGTCAGGGATCAGTCGAAACCAGAGGAGGGATTCTCAAGTGAAAACATAAAAACAACCCAAGGTATTGTCTCCTGTTAAAGTTCTTCATACCAGCTCCTTTCATTGCCCTCACTCCTAATGTCTGCTAAATGACCCTAATTTAAATGTTTACCATGACACACTCCACTTTCAATGACATAAGATTTGGTAACACTGTCATGAATGAATTAATACGCATCTCTAAACTATTTAAAGGTTAGGAGTATAGTCTGCTTTACAGTTGGTCTATCGACACGTATGTAGACAGTTGTCGCAGTGACATAATGAACATTCTATTGTCGTCCGACATCAAACTTGTCCTTGTCATTATGAAAAAATATAAAACACAAAAACTTTTACACTGAACAAAAATATAAATGCAACATCTAAAGTGTGCTGGTGACAATAAAAGGCCATTCTAAAATGTGCAGTTTTGTCACACAACACAATCCCACAGATGTCTCAAGTTTTGAGGGAACGTTCAATTGGCATGCTGACTGCAGGAATGTCCACCAGAGCTATTTTTTACTAGGCAAGTCAGTTAAGAACAAATTCTCATTTACAATGACGGCCAGATCATTTAATGTTAATTTCTTTACCATAAGCCGCCTCCAACTTTGTTTTAGAGAATTATGCAGTACGTCCATCCGGCCTCACAACCACAGACCACATGTAACCACGCCAGCCCAGGACGTCCACATCCGGCTTCTTCACCTGCGGGATCGTCTGAGACCAGCCTCCTGAATAGCTGATAAAACTGTGGGTTTGCACAAACAAATACTTTCTGTAAAACTGTTAAAAACCATCTCAGGGAAGCTCATCTGCGTGCATGTCATCCTCACCAGGGTCTTGACGTGACTGCAGTTCGCCATCGTAATCGACTTCATTGGGCAAATGCTCACCTTCGATGGCCACTGGCACGCTGGAGAAGTGTGCTCTTCACGGATTAATCCCGGTTTCAGACAGCGTGTAGGTGTTGTGTGGGCGAACGGCTTGCTGATGTCAACGTTGTGAACAAAGTTCCCCATGGTGGCGGTGGGGTTATGGTATGGGCAGGGGGAAGCTATGGACAACGAACACCATTGCATTTTATCGATGGCAATTTGAATGCACAGAGATACCGTGACGAGATCCTGAGGCCCATTGTCGTGCCGTTCATCTGCTGCCATCACCTCATGTTTCATCATGATAATGCACGGCCCCATGTCACAAGGATCTGAACACAATTCCTGGAAGCTGAAAATGTCCAATTTCTTCCATAGCCTGTATACTCACCAGACATGTCACCCAGTGAGCATGTTTGGGATGCTCTGGATCGACGTGTACGACAGCGTGTTCCAGTTCCCGCCAATATCCAGCAACTTTGCACAGCCATTGAAGAGGAGTGGGACAACATTCCACAGGCCACAATCAACAGCCTGATCAACTCTATGCGAAGGAGATGTGTTGCGCTGCATGAGGCAAATGGTGGTCACACCAGATACTGACTGGTTTTTGGATCCACGCCCCTACCTTGTTTTCTTCAAAGCTATCTCAGTAAACGCTTTGCACCTGTGGAGCAGAACATTGGACATTATGCTTATTAGCCTTTCCACATAAAATATCATTTAATGAATGTATCAAGAGGCTTTGAGAAGAGAATAAAACAAGGACAGTAATGGTCTGGGATAAAAAAAATAATACAAAAACATAATATCGTAGGCCTATGCTTTAAACAAGGCTGGTGTGGTTACCTACTTTTTACATTTGGCTAAAATAGCTTTTTAGCTCTCGCAAGTAGACTAAGAATTTATATGCAGCATTACATATATCAGTAAACTTGAACTTGAGCCTTATTTCTCTTTTGCATTCATCATTAACTTAAAAAAATTAATGTATTATACAGTGTTGCTATTGCCTATAGCCTATACAGTACTGT